TGCCTCCATTTGGGGTGTGTCCATCAAGGAAGATCTGGGCGTCATGAAAGTCCGGCGAGATCAGAGCGACGCAGCATCCTACATCTGGGGCTTCGATGCGGACCGTCTTGGCCTGTCTGCCGAGGATGGCAACATTACAACATTGATCGTGCGATGCAGGTTTGCAGAGAGTGGGGCCCTTGAGACAAGTTATCCTGCGCGCTTTGTCGAACTGCAATTCGGAGAAAGCAAGGAGGCGACAGCTCTGGGAGGAAACGCTTGGGGCACCTCTTGTCCAAGCCATCAGGATTGTAACTCCTACTTCTAAAATCCTGGCGACGAGTTGGTCAGGATTCCGTACAGAATGACTTTGCCTCCGCACAGCCTGTCCTGTCCACAGTGCCGAGCAAATGTACGCAAGGGGTTTTGGGCATGGAATGAGCCATGCAGCTAATCTGTCGAAGGCAGACTCTAAGCTGTGCAAGATTGCTTGCGCTGTTTAAATTTTGTTTAATGTTAGGTCTCTGTACAGATCTTCCTTGGTGGAGGAGGCCCTGCGTTTTCAACACGTTTCCTGCAAGGGGATGCGCTTTTCTGCAAGGCTTCCAGAACTGTTATGGACCTGGACAAAGAACAGCTGCATGCATCGTCAAAAGCATGGCGCTTCTGACATAGGTTTCGTGTTTCCAATCCTGATCGCCGTCGCGCAGCCAATGCGTTTGTCCGATCAAGTCATCTAGGCCAGCTAGATGTTGCAATCCTTGAGGTGGTTCTCCAAGCCTAAAGACATCATGCCATTCCATACCCAGGCTGTTTGCGCCTTGTCTCCTCAGGTCCCTTCCTGGACATACCCATCCGCTCCGCTGGGAGCCTGAGCAGTGACCAGCGGGAGTGCACAAGAGTTGCGCCAAGAGTTCTTGTGCAGTCTGTGAGTTGCACCTGCCAGAACAGGTCTGGTGCCCTTCACGTTGTGGCTGACAACAGCTGGGCGTTGCTCGAGGGCTCCCAGAGATCCTTGAAGGCTGGGTCTGCGCTGGAGAGATGAGGTGAGTTGCTGGGAACAGCTACGGTACGGTCCTGAGAGTGAGTGGGATGCTTTCGCCTGGTCTGCTTTGCCAGCTGTTGAGTTCAGTATGTGTCCGGCAGAGTCTCCAACGCCTTCGGGAAGAAGACCCAGGGCCGCGCTGGGATGCTGCTTGGATGCTTTGAAGCAAAAACCTAAACTCAGAGGAAGTTCAGGCAGGCAGTCGAGCCATCATGCGCTTTTGAGGGTTCGTCATTCTTAGGCTGCTTGTCCTCCTGAAGCTGAAGGCAGGTGAGAAGCAGATCCGACGGAGGAACCTCCTGCGTGCATCAAATCAAGCATTGCTTTCTGGCTTGCTCAAATGCCCCCGCTCTGTTTCGAATTGGCGCGGTGGCACAGCGCCACCTGAAAGCCATCATTTAGCCTCGATTCATCGTGGAGGCTGCTTTGATTGAGGACCTCTGTTTGACAGCTTCCAGCGGCATCCGGGAGCCTCATCAGTGCCAGAGCGGGCGCATCAGACTACAGCAGTGGAGCCGAATCCGAAACTTTTTCGATTGCGTCAAGAAGATGCCATTGTCTGCTCTGACAGGGGGGGCATCTCTCCTTTTTGAGTGGTCTATGCTGTCACTGAGATTTCTGATAAGCTGCCCCAAGGCCGAGCTGCCAACATTCTGCTGAGCAGATCACAAAGCTCGCGGTCCACACTCAGAAATCCGTAGTCAGTGAAACGGGGCCAAAGCATTATTACTGCTTGCTAGCTTGCGACTCGCAGACTCGCAAGAGTCATGCCAGGGGACGTTGGGACCGTTGAGCCTTTTGAGCAAAGCCTCTCGCGCCACGTCTCTCCTTGTCTTGGTGTGTCGCCATGGCTTCCTCCTCTCGTGCCACGGTGCCACGTCTGAGAGCCTGGAAATCATCCAGAGCATTGCTTTGGTCGCTGATGGGAGTGGCAAGGAGTGTGAAAAGGCCCTTCGGTTGCAGGGCTGATCAGCATTCCTGATGGACGCCGCGGTTTTTCTCAGTAGGGACCTCCACATTGTAGACTTGCACCGTTTTAGGAACAAACGAAGAAATTCGGGCATTGGCCTTCGTACTTTTTCACCGTCCACTTGTGCATAGGACCTTCCCCTCCATTGCCTAGGGCACGGGCAACCTCTCTTAACAGCGCTCAGTTCACGCCTTTCCTCAGCTTGTGTGTTAGCATTCGATTCCATTTGCACGGCTTCAGTTGCACATTTTGCTCATCCAGCCCAGCGAATGCAATGTTGCTCCACCATAGTTGCGTTTTCAGAGTTTGCATCTTCTTTGGTCTGTGGCAACATGCAAATCATTCATCAAATTTTGCGCTTCACATCTTAACCGTGTCGAACTGGTTCTTCTCATGATTTTGCCATTGTTCTCATGTGGGTTTTGCAGCAGTCGCAGCGACTGTGTTCTGCCATGTAGCCTGAACGCTGAAGACCTTGAGCGCTCTTGAGCACGGCTTCCAGTCTGAGGTCCTTTGCATGCATCCCCAGATCTTGAAACTCTGGAGCAACTGCAGCAGGTGCGTCTCAAGCATTCCAGTTAGTTCGAAAGCATGCCGCGGATTCCTCGCGTGCGTGTAAGTAGCGCCCCCGCCCGGGAGGCCCAGCTGGATCGAACCTTCTCGGCTTGTCTGGCGTGCCTGTCCGTTCAGGTGAACTCCCGCGGAGCGTTTGTCTCCTCCTTGGTTCTCGGTGCTCGCCTGAGCCGATTCAAGAGACTTTGCCTATCGGTGCATGATCTGCATCTCATGAACGGTTTCTGTCAACGTATTCAGCAAATGTAGCATTAGATGTAACGGCTTCGCAAGCCAAAGTGCTGCAATGACAGTTTCCATGTTTCAGGCAACTAACTAGGAGCCCGGATCTAGGTCTGCGTGGTATTTTTGCAAATCTCCAAAACATCTTCAGCAGAACAAGCATGCGCGTCGCTTTTTCCGAAAGTTCTTGAGATAGTCTTGAACCAGCAGATGCCAATACACGAAGCACCGATGCTCGGCTGAATTGAAGGACCCTGGCCTTTCGCCTTGTTCGGAAGTCGCCCGGCCGTGGATCACAGATGCGCAGGCCTCAAAATTTCGTGGCGTGTTGCTTCTTGGCAGAAGTGTTACATTCTTGCGGTTTGCGCCGGGATATTTGGGGTAAGGCCTTTGAGGTGGACGCTGCCTGCGAAGCGTTTGCCGTGCGTGGCTTACCTTTGCAACTTGTCAGCTGGAACAATTTTAGCACCGTGGCATGATGACTTAGATGTTCACTGTATGTGTGGAAGAACATGTCAGGGAATCACTTGCAAAACATCTTTCCACGGGATATTTTGTACGACTAGATGCAGCGACAGCCAGCCGCTGTTAGCTGAAAACACCTTAGAAAGTATGTGTAGGCTGTGAGTTTTACCTGGTTGCACACCTTGTCTGTTGTAAATGGAACATGAACCTGCTTGCGTCCAAAGGCTTCGATCATAAACAGAACGCGGTCCGGCAGCGTGTTTGTGCGGACCCTGTCTGGGGTAAAGTTCAGGATCTAGGGTTTCTAGTTTAGAATTTAGGGTTTCGAGTTTAGTGATTGAGGAGGTATATTGGAACTCTACACCCCGAGCTTCAAGCAGGAGGTGCTGATTATCCTGTATACATTCCGCAAAGAAAAATCATGCAGAACCATAAAGCCATGTTCATGGAATTCAAGGTGGGCAGTTTGCCCCATGGAAATTTCGTTGTTCCATACCGCCTATTCCTATTTTCCGATGTAAGGGCACCCACCTGGTTTTTCCAACGTGAGAAACCTCATAATCTTGTGCCAATCAACCCTTGCATAGTCCCAGTTGCCGCGTCATTTTCCATGTTATTTCGAATTTGGCTCGGCGTTTTTGAGAACTCTTGGGGCCCCTATCACTGAAATTTTATTACCTAAACGCTCCCAATCACCCATGTCACCGTGCTTAGAGCTTATCCACTTCCAACAAACCCACATTCAAAGGACAGTAGTCCATGCAGGCTCTTGAGTTGGGGACTTGGCGCGTAGGAACTTGGCAAGTCAGCTAGCAAGCAGCGCGTGTTGCTAGTCACTGTTATTCTGACTTTTGTTTCATCCTTTGACTCTGTCTAAGACAGTTAATGTTACTGCGACGCGCTAGAAGCCAAGCCACAAACTTTTCCCTGTTGCCCTAGGCTCTCAAACCTGGACCTAAACTCTAGGCTCTGACCACCTGTGCCCACCATCTACGTGGCCTGGAACTTCTGTCGCACAAGCAGGATGAATGCTTCTGAGACGGAGCGACAAGAAGCGGGAAAAACATTATTCATGGACGCAGGTTTTGCTCAGTGGGGACCTCCACGTTGTAGATGTGTGTTTTCGTGGACTTTTTGAGCCTTTGGGGAGCTAACGGTGACGTGAGGCACTTGGGCTGTGCAAGCCAAACACTGGTGCAGGGTTGAATGCTGGTAGCTTTGCGGGTTGGGGATATAGGAACAAGAACGTGGAATATATGTGATGAAGTTTCACATGCTGTAAGGCAGGACGTGTTTCAAGTGTGTTTACAGCAACATAGACGAGTTCGCAGCCGTACAAACAGACGATTTGGTAAGCATGGGGTCCTCGATTGTTGAGAAATGAGGTTCCCCTTTCAACGCATGTTTCACACATGCAACGATTCTGTAAAACCGAAAGCCGGGCTGCAGCATTTTTTTTGTGAGATGCATGTTTTTGTGAAATGCAAAAATGGATGGCAGAACCTTTGGTTTTTCAACGGCTGAATGCAAGCACTACAGTACATGAGGGATCTCTACCGGAGAGCCCGGACCAAGTGGATGCAGATTTTGGGATCAGACAGGGCCGCGTAAATCAGCCATGCAAGCCAGTTGCTGCTTGGCCATTGCTGGTCTTCGCCTGGCTTGCTGACGAAGATGAGCAGAGGAGATGTTCCCTGGGAGCTCCCAGGGCCCTGAAGGTTGGCACCGCGGCTTTGGGGGGAGACGATGTCCTTCCCCCTTCCACCCAGACTACGTCGGCGCGTGACGGACTTTGATGTGGATGAGAAGGCCGGCAACATGCAGGATGTGGCCAGTATGATGTAGAACTTACGATTTGTGCATTGCAGCGCAGGTCCTTGGTGACGGTTCCCTGGCTTTGGTGCACGTGGCGTGGGAGAAAGCCGGCGGCAAGCAGTATGCATTGAAGGTTCGCGGCCCACAACCAAGCAGCGATGAACGCTTTGGCCATGTCTATACCGTTTCTGTGCAGGCATTCGATCGCCGCCTGCTTCGCAGCAATCACAAAGATGCCGATGTGACCATCGAGGAGAGGCCACTGTGTCCTAGACCTAGTGCGTCCGGCTGTTTCCGGCCTTCGTCGTAGCAAAGGTGCACCGAAGGCGAGTTTAAGTCATGTAAGCTCTCATTTGATAGCTTGAAAGGTCAAGTGTGGTGCGCGCTTTGAAGCATGAGGAGCATTGCCTGAGAAGAGCGAATCATCCTGGAATCGTTTGTGCACTCAGCCCTTGCGCATGAAAGGGAACACTTGGCTGATCCAACTGTTTGGGGCGCTGGTGCAAGGTCAAGTTGCACGCGTCCTTTCGAGACGAGGCGCTCCGAACCATGCCTTGGCTGCTGTGGACACGTGCAGAGCACGCAGAGCTCCCAGGAATGGCACTACTTCACTTTGGAGCTCTGCCCCGGGGTCAGACTGCAACTTGAGAATCGTGAAAGCACCCGCATGTGGAGCTGACATGTCTTTGCTTGGCCAGGGTGAGCTTTGGAACATGGTCCGGGTTGTGGGCTGCACAGAGAGCCTTGCGAGGCCCTGGAGGATAAACTTGCTGCTTGCTTGCGACTACTTGCAACTTGTCGCTTGGTTGCAGGCACTACCTTGGCCAGGTTTTTGAAGCTGTCAGGTCCTCAGGTCCCTAGCGCCTTGCAGAGCCTTGCGGAACTTGAAGTTTGCAGACTTGCAGATGAAACGAGGTCCAGTACTTACGAGATGCACAAATCGTCCACCGTGATCTGAAGTTGGTGTCTCAGTGCTCATCTTTGTTGCCATGCTACAGCCATATCTCCACGGTGGCCTCAGGGCAGAAAATGTTCTGATCGGACCCAAAGGCGGGGCGACACCCAAGCCCGTGGCAAAATCGCCGCGACACCTCTTGAGGCAACTGCAAGCTCATCGACTTCGGATGCGCCAGAGATCTGGCAAATCCTCAGGCTCATTCTTAGGGGATCAATTGCAAGAACATGGTGTGAAACGCCAGGTAAAAGGAGCTGGGACTCGAAACTTCAAGACGGTGATGGAGGAATGGAGGAATGCAGGCACGGATCTTGTACCGAAACAAGTGATTGCCAGCCAGGAGTACGTGGGCACGTCCAACTTCATGGCGCCCGAGGCCAACAACGGCAGAATCGGGGAAAAATGTGTTGTTCTCAAAATTCTGGGCCCCATTTCGCTCTAGATTACATTACCCCACCTAATACTTCGGGGTGCCAAAATGGAACCCTAATTTTGGGAACTACCCAAATGATCCACACAAAGCCAGGTGGTGAAGAACTTGTCTTCGGACTTCCGATCCGACACATGGTCACTGGGATGTCTGGTGCCTTTGCCTTCGAGGAGTTCTTGAGATGTTCCAGGTCAAATGGGAACCTGGCGACAGGTGTTCCAAGTGCTCGTTGGCCTCCCGCCTTTCCATGGAGGGTGGGGGCCTTGTACTGACCGCTTTGTAGCCCTGCTTGTCTGCCATATGAGGTCTATCATACGTGTTTACAAGAAGATAGGCGCGCATCCTGCATGAGGCCCCTAGAGGTAAATGCGGTGTCCAAAAATGCCAACAAGGCAAGGGCTTCATGGAATTCCCCAGCAACTGGCTTGGAGACGACGCGCGAGATCTAATCCACAAAATGGTGGTGAAGGCTCATGCCATGGGGGGTTCCCAAACTTAGGGGTACCTTTGAATTCTGGGGCTCCCCTATGAAAAGGGAAAAAGTATTCTGGGGGTCCATATTGGGGTCCCCCTATCTATGGAAATTCTCACATGTCCAAGCTACTGCCAGTGCATGCTCCGGCAGGATCCAGATGCCAGGCTTGGGTCAAAGAACCTGCGGGAGGTCGAGGATGGATCCGTTTTGATTTGTCCAGTAATAGTAATAGTAATCGTCATTGTAATAGCAATAGTAATAGCAATAGCAATAGTAATAGTAATAGTAATAGTAATAGTAATAGTAATAGTAATAACGGGTTTAGGGTTCAGGGTCCTCTTCTTGCACAGCTTTTGCGGACAGAGCTTCTGGCCAGTAGTTGGTGCAACCCTGGTACAGTCGTGGAGGAGCATCCCTTCTTCAATGGAATTCGCTTCGAAGGCCTGTGCCTTCCGCAAGAAGTGGCGGCTCTCTTTGGCAATTCATCTTACCGGTGGTCGGTAGGTACTGAATGAAGGAATACACACTATATAGGGATATATAGGGATGGTATGGGGATTCTTTTCCCTTATTCCCAACTAAGCCACCAGGGAGTTGATGGGAGGTTCCCACCGGCGATCCGCGCCCGTCGGCTCCCTGCAGGAGCTTTGCCTGCGGAGGCTCGCCATCCGATGGCAGCAGCAGGGATCCCAGAGGATCCTGAACGCTCTCTCGCTTTGGGGGAAAAGGCAACATGAAGGATGGAAATTACTGTAATGGGTTATATAGGGACGATTATAAGGATCCAGAAAAAGCCTGAAACCTGCTACCCTGATGTTGCTGCATACCCTTGCCAGCGGAATTGAAGCTGCGGATCCAGGATGGGTGGCACGGCCTTGACGTGGGCGCGGTCACAAACTGCTCTCTGCCCAGAGGCCAGGCGTGGGAAGGCTTTTTCTCTTTGGGGTTTGGGGTTTGGAGTTCAGGATTCTTGATTCCTGGCAAAAGGGCATGAGGACTAAATCCTGAACCTCAAACCTTAAGCCCGATATCTATGAATCACGATGTGGGAGCATGACAAGGTGCTTGCGAGACTGGAGCGCATGGCGGAAGTATCCGACCTGCTGGTCAGCTCCTCAAGAGAAGCAATAGCAGCAATATGTTAGCGCATTTCATTGTTTCGACCTTGTTTCGTTGCTTTTTTGTAGACAAGGGTGCTACATGATCATGTTGCTGCAATTAACACAGCTTTCGACGGTTCTGTCTCTTCCTTTCTGGGTGCCGAGGCGGGCAAGGACGAGGGCCAAACCTCGGACTCTGAGGAGGCCTCTGCATCTTCATATAAATGGCTTTGTGATCATTAAGAGGATTGCCTGTATCTTCTAGCTTAAGTACCTAAACCCTAAACCGTAAACCCTAGATGGAGCTGTTTCAACCTTTCACCGGCCAGAGCCCAGCCCTTCGTGCGTTTGGTGCTCAGGAAGATCGCTGAAAGTGGACCTCGGCAGCTGCAGCGGGCCATGAAAAATCATTGCAAAACCGGACGGTTTCCTTTTCCCCAAAGCCCCTGGGAGGTCAAATTACCTTGCCAGTGCGACATAGGACTTGATTGGGAGCTGGGCGCGAGCGTGGGCAGCCCTGCCTAAAAACCTTGATGATATCGGCCTAAGCCTGTTCTTTCAGACAGCTACAGATTCCCATGTGTACTGTAGTCTAGACTCCTTAAAGGGGTTATGAAGGGGAGTATATCGGGGAGTATTGTAGGGGTTATCAAGGGGGATACTAGGAGTTAAGACAATATAGCCCACGTCATCTACTGTTGCAGCATCTGAAGCCCTGTCTATTGAGGCCATCTTTCGGCTAAGGATCACTATGCCTTGACAGCTACTTGTGTAAAGTATTATTCTAGTAAGGAATACACGGGTTTCATTGCGAATGTTTGCCAGAGAAGAGGTCCAGACCCAAAACATGCAGAGAAGAAGAAGGAGAGACAAGAGAGAAAGCACGACAGGCTCATGTGCGGAAGCCTGTGGCCACCCTAGACGTCAAGGACATTAGCATGAAGATGCGCAAGCCTTGATGACAAACACGTGGAATCGTTAAGAGTCAAAGTATAGTTGTGTCTACATAGGCAAGTCTCATGTAATGTCCTTGTCATTGTTTTATGTTCTCCGTGGAACGTCTGCGTATGGTACCCCAAAACTTGCGCTACATAACAGCTCTTTGTCTGTCTGACTTTTGAAGTTGATGACATGGCCAAAGAGAGGGCATAGAGGAAGGGTCCCTTCAAGAGGCATAGGATTCTGCGATTGATACAATGACCTCATGCGGGTCGCTGCAGCGATGGACAGCCACTGAATTGCTCATGGTTAGCAACTCCATGGGCAGAAGGCCTGCTTTTTGCAGAGATTGTTGCTATTGCGTCTCACCTGAGCCCAAAACCTCCTATGTGCCCGCCGGCTCGCGCTTCGTTCTTCCGGTTTGCTTTGGTACCCCGCAAGCAGCTCTCTCAACTTGACGAACCTGGGCTTGCAATCCAAGGCCGTCAGTCCTGTGCATGTATGTGCCACCCGAATCTCAACAGCACCCGGAAGCACCCGGAAGTCCAAACCGTTGTCCCCTCTATCCCATCACAAGTCCCAACGCCATCCAGCTCAAACCTCGACGCTTGTGGGAGGAAGCTGTTGCCCCCCAAAAATGTGAATATGAGACCTGCCATGATTGCTGAGGCGAGCCCAGGCGAGAGCGGATGACCTGCAGGTGGCGTCGGCTAGACTCCTCATCTGCTGCAAGGAGCTTTTTGGACCAAGGCTTCTTAGCAGTTATTCAGATGCATAGTTACGAGAGAGGCTAGGAAGCTGCGCATGATCAAACGATGGTCTGTTCTTGGATTTTTCCTGCTGAGGAGCCAGTGACCCTGGCGGAAGACGGGTGCTCACGTCTGGCCCGCAGCAGGGAAGCAAGGTGGGCCATGCCATCACGGCCAGAAAAAGCGGCTGTGTCCATGAGCCATGCCATCCATGCCCCATGACCAGGAACGGTTGCAGAATTTTGCAGCACGAAGCTGCTTGGAAAGCCGGTCAAAGTCATCATGTCGCAGCATGCTGTGGTCAGCACTGCCCTGAAGATTTCAAGGCCCAGCCGAAGCGTAGGCTTTCGGGTACAGCGGTACAACTGTGCTGTTGGCTCCGTTGGCCAAGAGTTCGGGTATGTGCATGCAGTGTCTGCTTGCCAAGCGGCAGCCAGTTGCGCGAAGTGTGAAACCTGTGCAGCGGAGAGCACTCCTACCGGCAGCTCAGCTTTCTCTAATTCTTGCTTTCAATCATGTTGCCCGTGTCGCACTCGGTGTGCCGTGCAAAGCTCCTTTTTTGATGGAATCCTCCGTTTGCTCGGCAGGCGGTTTGATGTCCTAAGTCCTAAGAATGCAAAGGCCGCAGCTGCCTCCTGGGTACCGTTACTGTGGCTTTCATGATGGCCCAGTGGGATTTCCCTTTTGCAAGAAGCCCTGAGGCCCTGAGGGTCCTCCCCAAAGCAAAAGCCAAGTTTTCCACAGGTTCTGAAAAGCTGCCCTGCGCCTCAGTGCAAATTGGGTCCTTGGCATTTTGCAGCCGCTTTGATGCTGCAGACCACTTGGCGGAAGACAGCAGGATTGCTGCCTGCAAAGTGGTAGCGAACTCCCAGCAACCTGCTCTCTGCACTGTTCAAGTCAAAAACATGGTCTTGCAGCCGCAGAGTGTCTTGGTTTGGGGCTGCTGAACTGTTGGCGAATCATTTTCCCAAGCAGGCTGCCTACAAAAAATGGACGGTGTTGGCTCAGTGGCCTGCATCTCTCCGGTTCTATGAAGTTCTATGCCTCAGTAGAAGTCTGACGACCCAGAGGTGCACCTTCCGGCACTCAGTGTAGTGAGGCAGTGAGGCCTGAGGATTGCAACGCTTCTGCCTGCCTCCTTGGTAGCAATGCTGGCACCCATATCGTCTACAACAGCAGCTCGCGATGCAAGGAACCTAGCATGGGCGCAGTGTGCAGAGCTGCTTACATGAAGCTGTGAGCTATGCGGAAGATGGTTGGATTGCTGCACCATCCAGTCGTGAGCAGACGGTGCGCAAGCCATGAAAACGAGCAAGCAGCGGCCAGTCTTCGCAAGGCTGCTGCTCAGCTTTTCGTGGACCAGGCTTTCATTTTGGTTGCCTGCAAGAGACGGCCAGTGTTGTTTGCCATGTCGACTAAATGCCGTTGCTGCTTTGCAGAGCGGTGGAAGTTGATGATGTCCCAGTTGGCTGGCACGCAGTGTCACTGCACGCTCCTGAAGACTGCAACGCTTCTGCAGAACAGACTGGAAAGAGGCCCTCCTTGGTATCAATTCCTGCATCCATATCGTTCACAACAGCAGCTCGCTATGCAAGGAGCCTAGTGAAGATGCCGCAGAGCGGCGCGTTCTTGCATCTGGATGCTGCGCCAGTCTCTCTGAAAGCAGAAAGCACGACTTCACCAGAACACTGTTTGCGCATCACTCTGCGCTATGCCTCAGTTCAAGCCAGGGTCTTCACAACACATGGGCGCAGTGTGCATAGCTTGTTACATGAAGCTGTGAGCTATACGGAAGATGGTTGGATTGCTGCACCATCCAGTCGTGAGCAGACGGTGCGCAAGCCATGAAAACGAGCAAGCAGCGGCCAGTCTTCGCAAGGCTGCTGCTCAGCTTTTCGTGGACCAGGCTTTCATTTTGGTTGCCTGCAAGAGACGGCCAGTGTTGTTTGCCATGTCGACTAAATGCCGTTGCTGCTTTGCAGAGCGGTGGAAGTTGATGATGTCCCAGTTGGCTGGCACGCAGTGTCACTGCACGCTCCTGAAGACTGCAACGCTTCTGCAGAACAGACTGGAAAGAGGCCTCGCAGGCGTAGTCCAGGGGCATCTCGCGGGTCTGTTCTTTAACGAATGCCGGCGGGATGCAAAATGTGCCGTCTGGGGACAGCATCATGGCCTCCTCTTGGTAGCGCCAGGGGGCGAACTGGCGCTTGTCCGCCAGCCACTGTTCTTGGGCGTCCTTGGGTGTCCGCCCTTTGGACGACTTGGGCGCAGGCCGCCCTTCAGCTGAAGGCGCCAGAGTGGTAAAACACGATAGTTGGCGCTTTCCTGAGGAGACGATCTCGTCTGGCAACGAACATTTTGCAGCTTGTCAAAGTGGTTCCCGCCCATGCTGCACATCTTGTGACTGTGTTCGGAGTTCCTCCAGTTTCTTATAACTCCTGCAACCAATGCTGTGAAAGCAAAGGCTCATGTGCCGGACCTGAGCAAGTTGGGGCCAGACATAAGGTCTAGCATCAACGGTTGCATACAAAGAGGGTCAGCATCAGCATCTTCCCAAGCAAGGGCTTCCTCCACGCCCTCGTCGGGGCACCATCACTGCACTTTGATCCTGGCACGTGCTGGCACCATGACCTGGGGAACCACAGACTCGGCTTGCCTTGGTCACGACCCAATGCATCCCTGGTCTGCGTCACCTGCTGAATTATCAACTGTGCTACTTTCAGTAGTGAAAGGACAGCATCCTTTTGCGATATATCCTCTTGTTTTTGTCCTGCGTAAGATGACATCAATGCTGCTGGACAGGGCGTATCCAAAAGCTCTTCGTCCCAAAGCTCTGTAAGAGCAAGTTGGGGCCAGACATGGAGTCTGCACCCTCACTTCACTGTGACCCGGCACGTGCTGGCACCATGACCTGTGGAACTACAGACTCGGGTTTCTTGGTCACGACCGCACAGCCGTGTGCACCCTTGGCGCAGGCGCCTTGCCGTTGATAGAGAGCCGAAGCTCGAAAATGGGAGTTCGGTGCTTCCCGCCTCACCACGGCAGAGGGTGAGGGGCCACCCCCGCTCCACATGTTCGCTGTCACGACCCAATGCGCATCCCCGGTCTGCATCGCCTGCTGAATCACCATGCCCAAGGAAGAGGTGCTCTCACGGAACTTGGTCACTCGTTCACTCCGCTCCTCGGTATCCCGAGCTTTTGCGGTGTTAGGAGTTCACAGGGTGCATGAGCCCTGTGTTCACGCTGGAGCTGTATGCTGCAAGCGTTGCCAGCACCGGCAATCAGTTCGTAGCTTTGCAAATATGTGCAGACACCTGGCTGCCGCAGGTGATGCTGATTTGCGTAGTGCGTAGTTCAGGGCATTGCTCTGAACTTCATGTGAAAAAAAGCTTTGCTCTGGAGCCAAGCCAATCGCTTGGCTGGAGCGGATGCTGCATACTTCTTCGCTCTGAAACATTCATGTGACGAATCGACCTGTTGAATCAGCAATCCAGCCGCCCCAAAAGCATCTG